TAAGAAGAAGATTCGAGAGAAATCAAAGTTGGGGCCTTAGTGTAGCTTCCCATAGTTCGTGGGGTTCTTCTATAATATAAGGAAAGAAAACCAATATATTCCTTAAACCTCCATTAGAACCCCCAAAAACGCAGAGCAGAGTATAGAACAAATCGCTATTTTCCCTCTAAAAGCTAAACGATTCAAAACAAAAACTCGCGAAAATGAGTACTATGAAATTTTGCCGAGAATGGTTTGTTTATATTTGCATTTATTTATTCTTACATTTATTATTATTGACTTCAATAAAAAAATGACCATTTTTTTTCCATGGATTGGCTTTGCAGTAACAATATTTTGTATCCTAAAGAAGATAAGGAGCAGAAGATTCTCCTTTACGCTTGCCGTAATTGTGACCATCAGGTTTTACCCCCTTTTTCTTTTTTCACTTTTATTTTTGTTTTTGCTTTTTCTGCAGCAATTTGATATAGTTGTATAGTACTATAAATAGGGTTTAGGGTAGTCAAGGAAAATCCAAATGTGGTGAGTTTACTTTTGGCAATTGGACCAATTTGCAGAAATTGCATGGAAGCTGAGTGGATTTGTTTCTGAAAGAATTGAAACTTTTGTTGCAATTACAGTTATTAACTTCTGAAAAAAGTATCTTTTTTTTTTGTGACGGTAGTCGGTTTGCGCGCACCTCGAGTACTTCAGTAGGTACCTGCTACACCTTCTACCATCACAGGTGGTCATGCCGGGTAAACCTGGCCATCAACTTTTGAAAAAATATATTTAGGGAAAATTTTATCTTTTTCATTTTGTTAAGACTATATTGGTAATGTATGGGACAGCTCGAGTGCACTATTCTACCGAGCAGCCTGTCCATTTTAAAAGCACAGGTTGTGAAGGTAATGTTTGTCCAAGTGTGTGTTATGGATGGCATTTGAATTTGGGATGTCCAAGTTGTTACTCTCAATGCCTCAATCACTAGGTTGAGTTTATTGTTTATTTTTTTATTTATATGTTCCCTAAAGGTTTCTAGATTATTGGATGTATAAAAGTTAAGTTGCATTGTTTCACATCTCGTCGTGCATTTAACCTGAATAAAGTATACTCCTGCAGATTTATTTTACTCGTTAAGGAATCTCAGGTGTCAAAGTGTGAAATAAGTTTATTGCATGGATGGCATCGATCTTATCCATTCATCTATAAAACCAAACATCCTAGCACTTTCCTTTTTGTACTTGGATTTTCTAAGTTTTATTGTTGAGCTATTTTGTTGAAGCCCCCATGTAACTAACGTTTTTGCGCCGTCAACCTTTCTGCAAGTCTGAGTTTTGCAACAGCATGTCCACTGTATTTCTCAGCAATAAGACCTTAAGTGGCATAAAGAGCATAGAATCAACTCTTAACTATCATATAATCACCAAAGCCAAACTTCAATTTTTTTTTTTTGCTCTTAATTTCTTTTTTTCCTTTTTAAAATCTTTTTCATCTGATCCCTTGTCAGATAGGTATGCTGAATATGATATCTTCTTCGTCACCTCTAAGCTATCTATTATCTGAGTTGTATATTTTGACTAGATGTACCTAATATTTATGTTACATGGACTAGTTTATCCATTTGATACAGTGTGTATAAATCTGGTACGGACAATTTTGGTGTAATTGAAGAAACTACATAAAGCACCCATATTTATGTTACACCTGTTGGAGATGGGTACGTCAAGCAAAACGAAGATCCATCTTCAGAAAAAGCTTTCTGCTTATCAAAATTTATAAAAAAAACAGGAAAATGAAGATCCATGTAACATAGTTTAGTCCTACATCTATCTGTAGACTTATATACATAAAATGTGTATCTCTGTGTATGTGTGTGTCGGGGAGGGGGATGTGTATGGAAGAGGGATGGGGAGGGGGGGGGGAGTGTGTGTGGCTAGAAGGCATGCAGATCAGATCATTCAGGTGCCATAAAGCTAAGAATGAAGTCAAGGCTGAATCTTGACTCTTAGCGCTAGATGTTGTCAAACAAGTTTATCAGCTCATTTATTCAGATTGGACTTGAATAGCTTGCAGCGTCCTGCCATCAAAATGAGTTTAGCACGATTACTGTTATAAATCTATATTTTACTAGCCTGCATATCTTGTTCCTTTAAAAGGTGGCAATTTATATGGATACACCTAGTATATGCAGCAGTTTTTTCTCCCTTTTGTGCTTCTTAATTTACCATGCTTTTATCAGCATAGGCCCTTTCTCTGATGGGATACTCCTTGTTCTCTCCTATTGAGGCATAATGGCTGCTCCATATAGCAGTTTTTAGCTGCTTTGAGTAGTAATAAGTGTTAACTGGTAAAGGAAACACTTAGTGATTTTATTCCATCTCTTAATTTCTCCTATGGAATGCCATTCATTCTTTAAGCTAAACAAAGATACCTTTCACTTCAGCTGTCTTTTGTTCTAGTAGACTTCTCTATCCAATTATCAATAATTAGTCATTTTATTGGAGCTATCTGATAGTACTTCTGCTCCTTCACATTATTTACTCTGCTGGAAATTTGTTTGTTCAGAACTTGAATTCCCTTTTCCATTGCCTTTCTCATATAAAAAAAAAACCTTGAAATCCTTTGTCCAAGAATGAGGGCTTGTAGAGATTGAAATTTTTAAATCACCTGTGTTTTGACAAATACATTTAATCAGTAACTTGTCTAATGCTCCTTTTACTTTGCTTGTCTTAATTGCTTTTCTTTACTTTTAAGCGCCGCTTACACTAGCTGTCGAAGTTAAGTTGCTAAGAGCTAGAAACATAGGCAAGCTTTTGGCACTCATAACTACTTTCTTAGGATAACGTTTATTTTTATCACTATACGAGTTCAACTTTGAGTTCCATGTCAATACTCATTTTCATATTCTTTTAGGAGCCTGCTGAAAACAATTGCGTGTATAGAAATGAGATACATCATTCTGCTGCGGAACGCACACAAGTGTTGCAGGATGTAGCAGCAGATCCAACTTTGCCTCGTACAAAATCTGTTCGATGTTCTCAATGTGGTCATGGAGAAGCAGTTTTCTTCCAGGTCATTTTCCTTCTTCCGTGCTTTCTTTAGTATTTAAGCCACCAATAGTTGCTATGGCTGCTTTAACATTTACAAATATGCCCGAAGTCTGGTTCCTGTGGCTGGTCAATTTAAAGCTTATTGTCTCGTCATATTTGCTTTTTGATCTTATGCGGATTAGTTTTATCTGATCTATGCTGAAGATAAATGGTTTTGGATATTCCCAGAAGGCCTGATATTGGCAATCTAAATCGTGACCTATATCCTGTTATGTCTTGTTTGAGATGTCTGCTTTTGGAATATTTAAAAGAAAACAACCTGATTGTGGTAGAAAAGCAACTTGTTGCCACAGATAAGTTGACCTGCAATTGGTGAAGCTTGGTCGATATGTGCCTCAAGAAATTTCATTGTCCTCACCTCTGAAAAATTTACACTGTTCCCAAGCAAAACCGTCCAACTTGTCTGGTCCAATAAATCCTTCCTTCCTAAAAAGCTTGGAAAAAGTCTTGAAACTCATTGGGTTAGGTTATCGGTACTCCTTCTCTTGGAATTTACAGTTCTGCTACCTGAATAATATAGAAGGGAACAATCTGAGTACCTTTTACTTTTAGCTTCTCATACCTCATTCGGTTGTGGTATGTTAGGACTTAGGAGCTTCTGTTTGACTTCTTTATTTGGAAGACAAATGATGACTGAAGATAAAGGCTCTATCTTTTTCTGGATCAATCAAATGAAGGCACTTATCTTGATACAGATTTTTGGTGACCTTTATTTGCTTGCTTGTTATGCAATATCTATTTGCTGGATATTGTTTTACAGTTGTCTGAAACAATTGATATATGTGCAGGCAACTGCAAGGGGAGAAGAAGGTATGACACTCTTCTTTGTTTGCTGCAACCCGAATTGTGGCCACAGGTGGAGAGATTGAGATCACATTCGAGTTATGGTGGGTGCAGTGTTAGTTATTAACGTATTTGAAAAAACTGATTCTGACCTATACTGCAACTGTTCATCATTTAGTGTATGTATAATGCAATGAATCTTATCCTGTGTTGGATTGGAACCAATGTTATTACTCAGGCTAGATTCTAAAGACTCGGCATGCTCCCTAAGTTTCTGTTAACCAAGCTCTTATCGCGTTTTCTTGAAGAAGCGAGAACTTTTGTTCTGCTGAATAGCTGAACTGCGAGTAATACTACTGTTTCTGGCTTCAGAACATTAGCTTTGGTGTTTCCTATATTTGAAGAATTTTACTTATCCTGTTTCTTGTGTATCATTGAAGTTCCATTTTCCGATTTAATCCAAATATCATTCACTTTCTCTGCCTGCATTCCTGGTGGAGGGAGCTATATTAATTCATATGTTCATTTTGCCTATTCAGAAAAAAAATTCCCTTTTCTTTTTGAAAAATTTCCAATAACTTATGCAGAAGAATATTTGTCCAAATGTCATATATTGCATGGAATAATAAAAAAGGTAGTCCCATGCACTAAGCTCCCGGCATGCGCGGGATCCGACACAGCCTTACCCAGCTTAGCTAAAAATAGCTATATCAGTAAAATGATCCATCAGGCACAAAATTTTGGATCCTTAACTTTGTTTACAAGAATCAGCTTCAAAGACATGGTACATCTATAATGAGTGAAACATAAAAAATGCAGGATGAACCAACATGAACAAATTTTATTTCTCTATAATAATTCGGTATCCAGTACCCACAGGACCGACTGATTTGGATTCGCGTCGTGTAAGTCCAATAAAGGAGAAAACGCTTCGTACCAAGAATTTTTCAACATGAACAAAGATCAAGGGGCATTTCCACAATATAAGCAAGTGCAGCACCAGCTGCTTCCAATGCCTTCAAGCTTTCACTAGTGACATTCTCAATCATTTGTCTCACTATTCCCACTTAGTGCACCGAGATGTTTCTCAATAGGTATAACTTTCATTAAATAGCTTATTACATATCAAGAAAATGTCCAAGCAGAAAGTGAACTGAGAGGGGTTCCTTTCCATCCAATAAGTAGACAATTTTGGTTCATTTCCAGAGTGCAAGAACTCCCACAAGCAAAATTCTTTAACACCAGGTTTGCCTGATACAATGAAGACTTGCTCAACTCAACTTCTTCCATACCATATCGCGCGAAAAACATCCTCCAGACATCGATTTTCACGTGTCTGATTGTTCTTTCCTCACCCTCAGCTGCCACAATGATCCTTATTCCTTGGTTCAAATGTTCTGATTCTGTAGCTGTCCTGTTTTTTTCGTCGTGTTTCATACAATCCTCTAACGCGTCAAAAAATGCACCGTAGAAGAATAGAGCTTCCACAAACCGGTCCACGAATACAGGTGAATTATGGTTTGCTTCCACTTCTATAACGATCATTGCTCGAGGATTAATACCTTTGATCACTCTCATCAACGCGTCCAATTTATCTGGTCGCGCTAACATTCTCATAAGAATGTATTGCGCGAATATAGCAACGACTTCCTCATTATCTAGCTCAAAATCATCTTGCTTTAGTTCCATGATATCTTCAACCATTACAATGTTGAAAGAAAATGGCAAGTTCAAGGACTTTGCGAAGCTCATTAATCGCTCACATGTATCCTCAATTTTATGCCTGAATTTGGTACATAAAGCAGTTAACTTGAGATGTTTAAATGATGATTCACATTGATTTGTGGCAAGAGCTTGCATCAATATTATCCATTGCATCCCATTTCCAATCTCAAGATCAATTATATGAACCTTTTCGGATTCTGCTACATGATCGATGATAGCTTGAACACCGGCAAACTGAGTCACCTGATTCAGAGGTACACTTTGATGTGCTGCAATCATAGAGGAGTTTAAGCTCATCAACGAATCCTCTATATAAGCTAATCGTTTCATTCCAATTCCTTTCGAGGTACCTATTCCTGTTTCCCAATTAATTCTGTCGTGAAGTGCTCGAGAAAAATAGTATGCCAATCTCTGTATTGGATTTCCTTTGTTGGAACAGGACTTGTCACACTCATGAAGAAGCTTTCGTGCACGATCAAACTGCTTCTGCCCTACTTTCTCAGCAGAAGCTAGAAGGTATTCGATGAGTGTCATATTTCTAGTGTCATCCTCAGAAAGGCCAAGAAATGAGCTAGCAAATGGATGGCTAAACATGTATGCTTCTTCGCGACTTATAGTAAATGATTGGATGAACTTTTCAGCACCCAAACGAAGGATTTCATCGGTAGATAATTTGCATCCATTTGCCTTTATGCACTCACTCTTATTGTTTTGCATACTAATGATGTTCTTTTTTGTGTTTGATCTTCTTGATCTTCTAAACCTGCTGTCGTAATCTTTCAGGATCTTGAGTGCTGAAGGCAATGGAGTTTCCATACTCTTTTTTGATTCAGTAATCTCATACGATTTCTTCGTTTGGACGGTTTTCTCCACATTAGACTCATGTTGTAAAGGGACAACATCAAAATCCCAATCATCAAAACTAACAAAATCTACAAGGAGTTGCAGCTCGTCTTGTTGTTGTTGTTGTTCTTCTTCTTCTACTAATTGATCCTTCCCGAGGCTGGAGGAAAACAAGTCCAAGTCCATTTCAGTACACCCTAGGCGAATCCCACATCGACAAAACACAGGAGAGATGCTGGGTATATAAGTAGACAAGCCTTATACTGTAATGATGCGTTTTAAAGCCGTGCGAGCCTAATCCCAAAACGGGCTATATCACTAGTGGGTTAGGCTGTTACATATTGAATCTTCACCTTCATTGGATTCTGAACTATTTAATGACCTGCATTTATGAAGAACAACATCAAACTCAGATTGATCAAAATGGAACATTTTACTCAAATCTTGAAAGTATTGAAAGGCAATCCTATTAGTCTTCCCAACATATGACTACATTTTTATTGAGAAAGTTTTGGAGATTTTGATGATATTGTCTGCTATATCAAACACTAGTAGTATAATTTATATGAGATAATTTTGGAGATATTGATGGTGTTGTCTGCTACATCCAACACTTTGATATTGACTATGATATGATATTCACCATAAATTAATAAAAATAAACGTACTCAAGTACGTAATCACTTGAAAAAACAATCACCTTGATTCCAACGTATTCGATATTTTCTATTTAGGCTGTTTCGTGAATAGGGCCTATATAAACAATAACTACGCCTCAATCCCAAACAGAAGAGTTTATATACAAGATTTATTATTTGGGGGTATAGGTCCACTTGTAGTGAAAAAAGGATTATATTTTTAGAATGTAGTTGTCACTTGAATATTTTAGAATTATACTTGACAGGAAGATATGGAGGTCGAAGATTAGGGTTGGAGAGTAATAGGTCGTAGTATGTTTTTCTGATCTGTTCCAGGTTTATTAGGGCTAGTTGACTAGTGCATTGTCTTCGATTCTTAGAGTGCTAGTATTAGGGTTGTTTTTTAGTATTATCTCCCACTTCGTTGTTCTAGTACTTTGTCGTGTTACTGCTTCTTGCTATTGCTTTTTTCCAATTTTTTTTTTCGGTTCATACATTGGGGGCACCATTTTCCTGGCCTTGTTGTTATTATTTATTTGTTCCTATTCTTCCTCTCTAGCCGGGGGTCTTTAGTGCACTTAAGATTCTTAAGTTACCATCCCATTTGTTGAGCTTTCTTTATGCACTTTCTGATCTGAAAATAACTTAGGTCCTTTACCTTGAGTTAGTACAAAGCTATGAAGATACAATCTGTTAGTGGAAAATGCTGTCCTTGTAAATATTTTCCGGCAATCAAACATCAGAAAATAAGTATTTTCTGTCATACCAAATACATGGACTTGACCGAGGTACCATGCCGCCGTATTTGTGAGGTTACACTAGGTATATTGTTGTTGTTATTGACCAAGGTACCACGCCACTCTAAAATCTGGATTCTCCCATCTAAATCCATGGTGCAAGGACTCCAACATGTAGACCTTTGCAGCAACGGACTTGTGTTGCCGGGATCCTCTAAAAATACCGCTGCATCAACGTCAGATACTCCAAAAACTCATAAATTTCATTTTTAAAGGATTCGACATACAAATATAATGTTGATATTTTTGGAGGATCTGAGCAACATTATTTTCCACAATACCAACAAGTCCCTCAAAGCCAGTTCTTGTGTACCAATGTCTCTACTTGAATCATTGCCTTCATGCAACTTGAAAGCAGGGACGGATATAGAGTAGCGACGCCGAGTTTATCTAAACCCAGTACTTTTGACGCGTACAAAAATTTATGGGTAAAAGTTCACTAAAATTACAACAAATGGTAGGTCTGAACCGACAAGTTTAAAAATACAATAGGTTCAATTTTAAAAATATTAAAGATTGAACCCATAGAGTTAAAATACTAAATCTGCCTTTACTTCCAAGACAATCAAATTTTGCACCACAGTTCAGAAGCATCCCTATAAAGTGATAAAAGAAAGTTTATGTATTTATTCTTGCCTCAGCTTCACCTGTCACTACTCCAGAATAAGGCTGTATGTGGGCCGGTCTGGGACCGGGATCGGACCGGGCCCGCGGTCCTAACGGGCTAAACGGTCCCGGCGGGCCGGTCCCTTAATGGGTAGGAAGCCCGTGACGGGCCGGTCTTGTACACGAGGCCCACGAGACCGGGACCGCTAAGCCCGGGACCGGCAGGCGGTCCTGGGCCGGTTCAACCGGGCCTAGCGGTCCTAACGGGCTCCAACGGCTATTTTTTAAAAAAAAAAATTTTTTTTTTTAAAAAAATAGCCAACGGTCAGATTTTAAAATCTAGCCGTTGGCCTTTAATTTTCAACCGTTTGGAACTTTAAAAAATAGCCATTTGGCCCCCAAACTTTATATAATTACACTTTTCCCAATTCTCAACTATAAATACCCCCTCATTCTTTTATTTTTACTCACCAATTCATCAATCTATCTCAATCTCTCTCAATCTATATCTAATTTCTCTTCTATAATTGCTTATTTTATTATTGCAATTTCGTGAAAAATTGTGAAGTTAGTGAATTGAAGTATTCAAGTCTTCAAGTCTTCAACGATTTTCAATTTTCAAGAAGTTGTTCGGCAATTCGGTAAACTCGTTCCAACTCTTAACTTTTAAGAATATATTTTTGTGTGTTTAGTTTGCATAATTGTAATTAATATGGCATTTTCTTTGAAAAAAATATTTGGTGGTAAGGGAAAAGCTAAAATTGGTGAAAGTAGTCTCCAACCTACTACCCTTCCCCCGGCTCCCCGACCCAGACCTATTACCCGTCCTGCTGCTCCTATTATTCTTGATAGTGATAACCCTTGTTTTCAATTTTCCGATAGTGAATTTTGCCATAATGTTGCACAAGGTGAACAATTAAATGAAGAAGTTATGAATGCTCTTTATCCTAATCAAACTATCTTAGAAAATGATGAGGAAAATGAGGATGTAGATGAAACCCAACCGGGTATTTTAGATGATTCACCACTACTAGTCCTGTTAATAACCAACTGATGCCCGCCCGACCACCTGTAGAAACCCCTACTTTTAATAGACAACCTTCTAAACGCCCTAGAAACATCATTAAGTTTGGAATTTTTTTACTACAAGTAAGAGAACAAAATAAGGCTAGGTGTAAAACTTGTGGGAAATTGCTGGCGCATAAATATACTGGAGACCGTAGTGGTACGGGTAGTTTGGCTAGGCACATACAAAACACACCCTAGAGATAAAGTTAAATATTTACAATGAAAAGCGCAGCAAGAGGGGGACAAGTGTAGAACTGCGGTTAACCCTAGTACGTTCAAATCTAGTTCAACCAGGAATTAACACTGTGACGGTGGTATTTTATATTACGATCCTAATAAAGATCGTGAAGAATTAGCAAAGATGGTTACTGTTATGTGCTTACATAAATACTTTTCCTTCTAACCTTAATTTTGTGCATTATATTAGAAAAAGTTTTTAATCCTACTTATAAAGGTTGACCTCGCGCAACATTTAAGAGCGATATTTATAAATATAAACATGAATATGAACAATATTTGCGGTATTTATTTACTCATATAAACTAATCGGATTTCTATTACTATTGATATTGGTAAGAAGTAAATAATGACTGTGGATTATCTAACTGTTACACAGTCATTGGATAGACGAGGAGTGGATAATGCAAAAACGCATTATTGCGTATAGAAATAATTAATTCACGTCAACACAGGTAATTTTATTGCTAACACCGTTTGCAGATATTTGTAGATATTTTTAGCATTAGAGATACAATAATGGCAATTTCTATGGATAATGCTTCTAGTAACACTAGTGCTAATAGGCATACTTACAACAACACTAAATCCTGCATTTAGTAATTGTTTTCCATGTGGAGATGTATTTGTCAAATTTACCATTTAATCGTCGTGTGATGGTATGAGAATTTTAAACTTAGAAATTGAAAAGGTTAGAATGACTCTTAATTGGCTTTTTTATTCAAACCGTAGAAGTAGACTTAGAAGAGTATTTTAAAAAATGTGATGAATTTGGCCTTAGAGAAAAGAAAGGTTCCTAAAACCTTGTCCAACTAGATGGAATTATATGTACGAAAGTTTAGTAGTTGCATATGAAATAGAAACCAATTAATGCAACGTTTAATGCTCGTGTTGGTGGTGAGGATGATGATGAAATCCTTAAAATTCAAATTGGACGAAATGTCAAATTCTTATAGATTTTTTAAGAACATTTTCAAATTGCTACAAATGCCATTTTCTGGACAATATTATCCTACTATTTCAAATTGTTTTAGTTTATATTGCAAGCACTATGTGATTTGTTTGTTGAATTTTCGGAGGTGGGGAAATTTATCACTTGCTATAAATGCAATGAAAGAAAAGTTTAAAAAATATTTTTTCCCTATCCCCCTATTTATGGTGTTGCTGCATTGTTAAATCCTACAATGAAATTAGGAGGTCCTCACTTTTGGTAACACAAATATTATAAGGCTTTAAGATCTTTCGGTTGAGGAATTTTTCTACACTTGCAGAGGCAAAAGCCTCAATTAAAATAAATGCGCAAATAATTTATAATGCTTACCAACTTGCGTTAGATCATGCTAGGCCAAATGTTCCAACCCCTACTTCGTCTAGTTCACAATCATCTAAAAGAGCTGCGGGCCTACAAGCACTTAAATCTTGGACGGAGTTTAGGGGTTCTCAAGGTGATAATTTTGATGAGACTTCACATCTAAATGAGCTTCAAGTTTATTTGTCGCCGGGACTTGAAAAGGAGAATCCAGACGGCACCTTTGATCTTTTGGAATGGTGAAGGCACAAAGGGGAAAAATTTTCCGATCTTGCAATGATGGCTCGGGATATTTTATCTATTCAAGCTTCAACAGTTGCATCAGAAAGCGCTTTCAGTCAAGCACGACTTCAAATAGGTGATCATAGAGCGTCTATGAGGGAGAGCTTGGAAAAATCAGTACTATTCAGAGATTGGATCCGCTCGGAAAGAAGAAACTTTGGACTTGCAGAATCACAATCGGAGATAGATGAAGCTTATGAAGAAATGATAGCGGAACTTGCGGAGGATGCTGCTTCGCCTGGAAGCGGT